CGCATAGCCTTTGCCCCAATGCTCTTTCAGAAAGATGTATCCCAGGGCCGGCCAGCCTAGTTCACTCGACCACACACAGGTCCCTCCTAATCCGATGGGCTCGCCAGTCTCGGCGAGGGAGATGACCCAATCGTACCTCTCGACATCCTTTGGGGGCAGGCGAAGGCTCAGACTCTTCTCAGTTTGTTCTATCTCAATATCTGGACCTCCCTGCGACGACCATTTCATGCCATCTGGACATGTGCGAAGAGTTCGAAGAAACCCGAAGTCATCTTCAGTCATAGGCCGCATCGATAGACGCTCTGATCGAAAAGTGCTTCGTTCATGATTGGGTGGAAGTGGATAAACAGGGAGAGTTGTCTTGACTGTTACAAAGTCAATTGACGAAGGTTTTGTGGACTCCATGTTGGAAGTTTAGGGTAAGTTGAGTCAGCTGCACAGTTGACTATCGTGAAGATGAGCCTCTGGTCGTGAGAAAGTCTGGACCTCATATATCTTCTGTCTCCGTTATCACTCCGAGATCGTCTACACCAAGTCCAAGAATTGTGAGTCATGGGCTATCACGACCGTTAATTATGAGTCGAATCAGCATGCTTCAATTTCAGCTGTGACAAAAGTTCCCCTCGGCACCCGACAACTGGGGCAATATTCGCGTTCACTACGTATACGTTCACAGGCGTTAGATGGCTTCAGAGTGGAATTAAGGTGCGAAAACTCACTAATCCCAAGACCAGCTAGAATTTCCCTAATCCATAATAACTTTATCTAAACAAATTCTTAGGTTCAGAGTCTCAGTTGCCAGCCATCCCCAAGCCTTTTCACCATGTCTGGCCTAACTAAACCCGTTGAGAGTCAATAAGGCTAGCCTCGCTCAGCCTTAGGATTGCAATGCATGCTAATTTATGCAGGGAACTTGATAGGCAGAAAGGGAATCAGGGTCGAGACAAGAGACAATGTCACCCAAAAAAATCTAAACGTCACTAAAGTCTAGTCGGGTGGGGCCGCGCCGGCACTTCCTCTGTCTGTCTGCTACAGATTATCGATTCTTACTGTTATTTGCTTACTTGTCTTGCTTTAAGTTAAACTTCAACGCATATAACGACTCCAACGGCGTGATTATTTGAGACAATCAGACATTAATATTCATATATTATTGCCCACAATCGCCCGGAATGAGCTCCCGCGAAGGCCGTCCGGCCAAAGTACTGAGCTGTTCAAACTGTCGCACGCGCAAAATCAAATGCGACAAGATACAACCATTATGTGGTCAATGTTCTCGCTTTGGCCTCGACTGTGTCTTTCCCTCAAGGAAACCAACAAGACGTGCTCCAAGACCTCGCCAGAGTGAACTACTCGATAGGATCAGTCGCCTTGAGAGCATCGTCAACCAGGCTGACCCCGCCAAACTGAAGCAATTGGATGAGGGGGACATCCAGAGTCTCCAAGGCTCAACTTCACTTTCGGCAACGCTGGATAACCGCTGTGATGAATCTCAAGCAGTAGCGGCGCAGGCTGCTAATTTGGAGACTGGGGAGCAATATCTCGGTTCTGGGTTCTGGGGAAATTTATGTGCTGAGGTTGAGGGAATTCGACAAGCGTTGAATCAGCCTTCTGAAGACAGTGATGATGAAGAGGAGGGTGAAAGCCCAGAGTCTGTAGACATGGCATCCACGGGTCCTTCGGGCTTCTTACTTGGAAACTCTGATTACACATCAAGACAACCGCTAATACATCCTCCACCGAACATGATGATACGGCTCTGGACCATTTACACCCGCAATGTCGATCCTCTCATGAAGATTCTGCATCGACCAACCATCAGCAAGCACTTCCAAGCTTACATCGAGTCACCTACAACCCACACATTTACTCCCGAGGTCAACGCTGTCCTGTTCGCCATCTACTTCTGTGCAGCTGTTTGCCTCACACCAGAATCGTGTTTGAAGCAGTTGGGCGAAAACAAAGAAATTCTTACAAGACGATACCGTGTTGCTGTTGAGCGAGCACTCGCCGAGGCAGACTATCTCAGCACAACCAAGATCGAGCCTCTACAAGCTCTGACGCTCTACACAAGCATGATGCGTGTGCACTTACACGACCGGACATCCTGGGTTCTCACATCACTTATTATCCGTATTGCCCAAGGGCTTAACCTTCATCGAGATGGTGACGGTCATCGCTTCACACCATTTGTCGCCGAGATGAGGCGCCGTTTATGGCATTTCATCGTCGTGCTCGATATCCGCGGCTCAGAAGACCGTGGCTCTGATGCAACCCTCACCAGGTCAAGCTTTGATACAGCAGAGCCTACATCTATTGACGATGACGATTTTGGACCTGATTCTATAGGCCCCTTGATACCCAAAACAACGCCTGCCGACAACGTTGTCTGTTTATGTACTGCTATGTGCTCAGGCATCTTCGGCTTCATATCTCACCCACATTACAGCCCTAGGGGCGAGCCGGAGCATTTCCTATATACCGAAGAGGAGCTCATTTCTCATATACGTCAACTAGAAACCAGCTTCATCCACACAGCCAAGCCTTCGCATCTCCCCTCTATTTACGCCTCCGAAATTGCTCGAATCGTCATTCTAAAGCTCTGGCTCAATATCCAATATCCTTTCACCGGTGGGCCAGCTCCAGACCGACCTCGAGTATCAAAGGAAACCATGTTGCGCACTGCCATCTCGATTATTGAGCTACGAGAACGCATGACGAAGAATCAGTGGGAGGACAGATTTGCCTGGTGGACAGACACCTACGTGCAATGGCATCCTCTCGCAGTTGCATTGGCAGAACTCTGTGTGCAGACAGAGGGAGAGTTAGTGGACAAGGCCTGGGTGGTTGTGGAGAGAACATTTCCATCGTCACGAGAGCACATTGCAGACACAGCGAAAGGGTCACTTTGGCGACCGATTAAGAAACTGCTCAAGAAAGCGAGAGCGGCGAGGACCGAAGCGCTCCTCAAACGCATGAATTTCAACTCCAGCATGAACCTGGATCCTGCAACATCTTTCATACCCCCAGCTATGAACAACATGGCTCAGCCATTGCAGTATGGTACCAACCAACAGATGAATATTCCTTCGTCGGGACCAGGTTTGGCATCACAGTACGACACTAGCAGTATGGATCCTTCAATACTGTTCGATCCTCCAGAAACATTGAATCTCGACTTTGGTATGGGCTTGGAGCAAGGCGTGCCTATGGAATGGACATATTGGACAGAGTTTTTCAACGATACACAGATAGAAACATCTCCAGGGAGCGGGACAGGCGAGTCGTCATAATATTTCACAATCGGTAGTCTTTGTTACTTTTTAAATCCCAATCAATTGTTTTCACACCAGGCAGCATCCGCATGCTCAGAATTTTTGGTTCATTCAATGCCCGTTTTATTGAGCAAAGTCAGTTGATATTTCCATGATCCGTTGTAACACCCGCAGAGCCCCAACCGTCCTCTAAACCGAAATCATTCTAAGCGAAAGTGGAAGGTCGCTTCGCGCTGAAGAGCTTCTTGGTGTTCTCCTTGGTGATGCGGTGGGGGAGAGGGAAGCTGAGTCCCTTCTGGGTCAGCTGGCGGATGTAGGGTCGCTTGATGTCCTCAGTCTTCTCAATCTCGACGACGCGGAGGATCTGGAGTTTGTTAGTGTCTGTGACGAGTAGCTGATCGACCAAGTTCGACGTACGTGGATGGACCTGAAACGAGCACGGTGGCGGGCAGCCATGTCGGAGTAGAGAGACTCGACAGCATCTGTTCGGGACAGCTCACGGTACTCCTTGTACATGTTGTGCGTGCCGGAACGAGAGTCATATCGGATCCAGATACCGAAGTTCTTGACCTTGAGGGGGTGCTTCTCGTGGATCTGATTATCCCAGTTAGCCTGGCCCGTTGCCTTCCTTCATTGGATTCTTGCTACGTACAGTCTTGACGCTGACGATCTCACCAGTGGCCTTCTTGACCTTCTTGAGACCGCGCAAGAAGTACCAGTATCGGGACTTGGCGACCGTCTCGTTGGGAGCGAAGATGGTCATGCGGTAGAGGGCGGGGGTAGGGTTAGCCTCGGTGGGCAAGTGGCGCCCAATGACCTCGTATTCCTGAAGACGGCCTGAAGACATTGTCAGTATTAGACGTTGCAGGTGATGGTTGTTTGTTGCTGAGATGCCGCGAGCCGAGCCGGAGGATCAAATCGAAATTTCGAGTGCGTGGTGCTAGTGCCAAGTCGAGGTGTTGACGAAATTCAAAATTGGCTCTTCGATCAAAATTTTGACCAGCCCCGCCGCAGCAAACATAGCAAACATTGTGTGAGCAGTTGTCGATGTTCTGTAGCCGCTAAGAGGTGATCCTTCGTCCTCCTATCCCCGTCGTAACAAGTTGTGAAGAAATATCGAAATTTGTTTCTCGTCGTCATAATCCTCCGGCGGGCGGCATCGTTGCAATCGAGCGCATAAAATAGAAAAACTGCTTACCCATCTGTTTACTTGTCAGTGGGTTTCCCTGTATGAGTTCTGGTATGCACTTACGGTGACTTCTGGTGATTGACTGGAAGGTTAGTAAATGGCAAGTTTGCAAGAGCGCAAGATAAAATTGTGTGCGATTAGGAGGGCAAGAGACAGTGGGTCGTACCTTCCGGAGGGCTTAGGCCCCGGTAGCGATTGGTCGACCGATTCTCCACTCCAGAGCAGCGTCACGTGCATCTTTGAAAGAAGGAGCTCTGGACGACGGTGGGTCCAATGGCCAATCAGAAACGCACGCGGGCAACTCAAAGAAGTTGGGAAGAGGGAAGATGAGTTCAACGACAGAGTGAGAGGTCAGTTTATCGACTTGTAACATCACAGACTTTGGTAGTACAAACTTGGACGTTTCGCAACCTTATCACTGGATCATTTAATCATTCATTAAACCGCTGCCATCCATTTCGATTTTGCTCATGCTCAGTTTGAACTACGACCAGCACTCTCTCTTACTGAACACACTGCGTGTCTAATAAGGAACCATGAATGCCCTCTTCGATCAGTTTGCGGAAGCCCATTCCCAGAAAAATGGCTACAAACTTGCGCAAACACTATCGCCTGTTGCTCCCCCAGATGACCCTCATCGCCTCATGGCTGTTTGGCGTAGTACGAATTCTCACAGCGTTAAGGGCGACATCAAGCACTTCGTTAAGAGTAGTACATCTCATCGACGGAAAATGAGCCATGATGAAAGTACAGGCTGGGTTGAGGTGTACACCTCATATTGGAAAGCTATTGCTGAGATCTTGGCGGGAGAAAGCGGAAAGGTATGAGACTTGTACATGTAGCTCTGAGAGCATCACGCTAATCCATGTCACAGTCTACATGGACTAAAGTGTATGAGGCATGGAAGGAACTGACCTCAGTACTCATCCGCGGATACAACTCGCATGGTTTCGAAGCGTGGACTATCCCCTCACTCTACATGGTGGGCAAGTACCTACGACTATTTGCGATTAAATCCGACGAGGAGCGCCAGGCAAAGACATCTGATACTGGCCCTGGAGCTTCGTTGATATCGGACGATTTCGACCCAGAAACGGATAAGCAACTTCAATTAAGAGACTGCGAAGGACACCTCAAACGTATATTTTCGCTTTGTCTTAATGATAGGTATGTCATCATATTCTTGCACATTGATATTGGCTGATTACATCCAGAGCACCCCTTGAGGAATCACGGAAATGGGGGATCTACTTCGTTATCAACCTTCTCTTCAAGACCTACTTCAAGTTGAATTCGGCTTCCTTGTCGCGGACTATTCTTAAGACGCTGGCTGTGTATAATGACAAGGGCGATATGCCGCCTCTGGAAATGTTCCCAAAATCTCAACGAGTGACCTTCAAGTTCTACGAAGGCGTATTGCTATTCCTTGAGGAGAATTACAATAAGGTGAGTGAACAGCTACTCGTCAATGTCGCCATCTAATAATATTCGAGGCCGAATCCCATCTCAACGAAGCGTGGCAACTATGTCACAAAGACGCTCTCCGTCAATCCGAGTGAGTTAAGTATCGATACAAGCTGTGAAACATATGCTCATATGGCTATAGACGAATCCTGACCTACCTCATTCCTTGCCGCCTCCTCACCAGTCATGTCCTTCCTACCAAAGCCCTTCTCGAGAATTATCCTCGTCTACAAGGACTCTTCCTCCCTCTGGCCAGCTGCATCAAGTCCGGTAACCTACAAGCCTTCGACAAGGCTCTACAAGATGGTGAGGCTGAGTTCGTCAAGCGGCGTATTTACCTTACCCTTGAGAGAGGCCGAGACATCGCCTTGCGTAACCTGTTACGTAAGGTCTTCATTGCTGGCGGCTTTGATGAACCAAAAGAGGGCGAGACAACCCCAGTTCGTCGTACAAGAATACCGGTAGCCGAGTTCCAGGCTGCAGTTAGCATGGGAAGCGGTCATATGGTCGACCCGGATGAAGTCGAGTGCATGCTGGCCAATATGATTTACAAAGTAAGTTAACGAATCCCTCGTGTGGATAAGGCGCTGGCTGTCTTTACGGTCCAGCAACTTCTTTGGTCCAAACTGGTTGGGAGTTGTCGTTGGCATATGCGTGGCAGTCAGTTGACTATATAATCGTCACCGAATTGCTGCCTTAGCCAAGTGTCTGCCTGGGGCATTGACGTACTTTATCTACACCCTCTCCATCTCAGCCTTACAAAGATCTGAGTCACTAACGTTTGTTTGTTTAGGAACTTATGAAAGGTTATATCGCACGAGAACGAGGCATCGTCGTCTTGTCCAAGAAAGGCGCCTTCCCCGGCACAGGATTGTGAGACTGCAGGCAAAGGCCATTGGCTAAGACACGACTGATGGACGTATGAGAAGATTGAGAGCTTAGCTGCATTTCTTAAACCAACGACTACTACTATAAGAACTTTAGTAGCATGAGGCAGAGTGGATAGGCACCGAAACCGTCAGAATGACGCTGGCGCCAACAAATCATAAAGCATTTTCAGCTATGTTCGTTTTGCGTTTGCTTTTTCAGCCCAAGCTCACAGTTGCGCTGATTTGCTCCTTGCTTGTTCCGGTTATCTTTGCACCATATTCACGCTTGGGAATGACACCGTGAACCACCCTTGTGTCTCGCAACTTCGAGCCTTGCACCCTCGTCCTTGTTCGTCCTCAACTATTGATACTTGAGAAAAAGCACCTTTCCATGCATTCGCTTCCTCGATGGCCATGGTCGGACAGCTCGGGCCTTTTGTCGAATGCAAAACGTTGTTGAGCCCCCCACATTTGATACTCGCAGTGTGCATGTTTCGCTTGCTTCCTCACAAGTTAGATCGCACTTTATCCGACAGCGTGACTCACAACCGGGGATCTCTTCCGTTATAAGCGACTTGTGTTTCACGATGTGACTGGCACTTGGCAAACCTTGTTGGACGCCACATTTGGCGTTCTCAACGGGACTTTTGGAATCTCACTGAAGGAAGAACGGCGAACAAAGCAATGTAAGACATGAAATGTATTTGAAAGGTCGCTCTGTTCAAGTTCTTGAAAATGAGCGTCGTGAATAATGGTACATATTTTGGTCCATCCATCTCAGATGACAGTCTTGGTATCCTCAGCACAAAATCATCGTGAAAAATCCAATATCAAGCAACCGGCTCGCGTACAGCGTGGCCGAAATCCCAAAACCCCTGCTCCAAAATATTGAACCCTCTAGGGGTCAGTAAGAATAATAGTTGTACAGAAAAGAAGTGTCCACGCCAAATTTCAACCGTCAGAACTCCGTGAACAAAGCATCAATAAAGCGCCTGAACTCCACCCCAGTGTTTCTTTAGTTTTAAGGTATTTGTCAGTACTGTGAAGTCGACGCCTTGTATCGCAGAGAAAAGAAATTCACGTTTCATTAAAAGGGAGTAAGATCCACGCAGAGAAGGAGGTGCATTAAGAGAAGTGGCGGTTTGAGCGAGGAGTGTTTCTATGACCTTGTTAGTGGTTGCTATGAGATAGATGTTGAGACTTAGACTCACTGTGCGGTTGAGATGTCGTCAACATGATTGCAAAGGGCGACAAAAAGATCGAAGAAAAGTTGAGTGCCACCGTTGTACATCTCGAGTTGCATCGTACCACTTCGCTTGAAAGTGCTTCGTGAACGAATGATGAGTGCAAGATAGTGAGCTCGTAGCTTTGAGTCAGTATCAGGAGTGTTGGCGTAGGCATATCTTGCCGAAGCAAGGATGGTGCTGCATTGGATTCCGGATTCTAAAGAATTCATCAGTAAAAGGTTGAAAAGGGAAAGACTCAAAAACATACGCAGTCCTTGCTTTCGCAGCGACAGCTTCTTCAACTCATCAAGGCCGTACTTCTCCGCCGCACAGTAGATGACAGTGTCCTTGAGAAGATCACCATCGATACCACGATGATAAACTGTGCTCTCGACAGCAGCACGCTGTTCTTCACTCGCAGCTTCAAGTTCGTACGAGTTACGACGCTTGTTGTGGACGAGACGGGGAGTGTAGTCTCCCTTGTAGAGGAACTCGAGAACAGAGCTGAAGATCTCAGGTTCTTCGTCGGGAAGAGAGATGCGTTTGCTGGCGACGTCCATGTATCCATTTCGCAGAGCATTGTTGAAGAAAGGGCTAGTGGCAAGAACGTCTTCGTGAGCGGCAAAGAGACGTTGCTCACTGCCAACTACGAGAGTGACGATAGGGGAGGCCATGTTGTTGCTGAATCGTGTGAGTGACGATTTGGGGGCTGAAGAAAAGCGTGACTTACTTATCCATCATAGTATCACCACTGGCACTGGCCATAGAGGTCATTGTTGGTCGGCGGTGGCGAGACTCATGTCTTCGCTTGGTGATTCCACTGTCTTTGCTGAAAGAAGAACTCGATTTGCTGGCCTTGTGGCTTTTTGAGAAGCTCTTGCTTGAGCTCTCATGGCGTCTGGAAGAGGAGAACATATTGATTGTTTTTAAAGAAGGGTTCGAGTGAGCGTGGTTTTTTAAATCATTAAATGAAGGGATCGTTGGGTTGTTTTATGCTCGTTGGGCCGATAACGAGATGGACGGCGAAGCAGGCAGAGACAGAACGAGGCAACAATGAAAGAACGAGGCAGATGAAAGAAGATGCCGGAAGAATATCGTCAGGTATTTTGTAAACTTGAAACCTACCTCAGGTTCAAATAGTGATTGGAAATGATCACTCTTCTGATTCGTCTCAGGATATAAGAACAACTACGAGATGGGAGAAGACACACCATCTTTATAACTTGAGATGGATGCCCCGTGCGGAACAGTACGAGATGGGCTGCCTGATGCAGTGCTACCCCCGCTAATGAGCCATCCATTCCATCCATTTCTCCTTTGCATGAGGCGAGTCAGCCCCGTCGGTGGTGATAGGTAGTGACCCAGACGCGTGTGCTAAGAAGGGGGTACGTGTAGAGTGGAAAAGGACCCGCGCGATACTGACGCCAGAGCACGTGATGCCAAAAAGAGTGTTTTGATCAATTCACGGGCGTCTGTTGTTAAATTTGGGCAGGGATTGAATGGGAGTCACAGAGGGAAAGGGGCTGAAAAAAAGGAAAAAGCAAACGAAAGCATGGACTTAAAGGTAAGGGGGCCTTGTTAGCGGTTTGACTTAATTGAAGCCGACCAAAGTCTCGGGGAGGGCATCCTAACAAATTAGGGATAGATACAGAGGACAGCATGTGCTTCCACTGTTGGCGGTGCTAGGATGATTAATTATGGGGACCTTGCGTGCTGAATGGGGAACTCCTCAAGGCAGAAGCACTCAAGCTCATGGGACTGCATGATAACGCATGCTCGGCTAAGGAGCTGCAAGGCTCTTGGAATATGGTCGAGCCTCGTCATTTTTTGCATCATCTGAATCGTCAGCTCTTGTAGAATCAATTGAGATCAATTGAAGGTCCTGCTCAATTGGGCTGATGATGTATGGCCATTACGAGGCCTCGTCGCCTATCTAATTCTCACGACCTCACATAATAGCTTCTCCCCTCCAAGCACACTCTCTGCCACAAACAACTTTTTCCCCTTCAACCCCATGCTGTTTTAATTGATAGTGGATCTTTTAGCCTTTCGTCGGTGGGTATGATTTGTGATTTAACCAGGGGAACCAAGATAGGGTACCTGACATATGGCTCCCAACACCTCCACACTCGATACAGCCTGTTGGGTTCTAGTGACGCTTAGTGCAAGGCTCGGATGAGAAGCCTCCCTGAGATTTGAGGGCATCGTCGCTGACAATGCCCGTTATACGGTTGACCGTGACGGCATTTCTTGTCACACACACTTAAGATCCCTGTACGCCACGGCTGCAGATGACCGACATGTCCCGAATTCACGCCAGAGAACTCGATACTTGGACGTTTTGCCCCTCAACTTGACCAGTTTCAAGTCAAACCCTTCCCTGCATTGTTCACGTCTCCTCCTTTTCCCAACGAGTCCTGTTCCCGTGCCCGTGTTGCAGCCGTTGAGATAGACTGCGCAATTGCTTGTTTGCCCGAGACTCTCACCATGGCTTCGTTGTGAAGTGCCCCGCGAACCTTCTGGCGCTCCACTGGGAGTCCAACATGTTGGCATCGCTGAAGCAGTTCCTCGCCGTGATTGGCAGGTACAAGCTCATCTTTTCCGGCTTCCACTATGTATATCCCCGGTGGCGTATCTGGGAATCTCTTGGCTATCATGCCGAGGTTGGTCCAGCTGTCCAGGTGGTTTCGGAGAAATGGCCAGAGATATTGGTATGGAAGCCACTTCTGTGGATACAATGCTTGGAGCATTGCTCGGACGTTTGTAAAGGGTGTTTCCAGAATAAGACCGTTAAGTTTTATACCTGGTGGGAATTGGCCTTTGGCTGCTAGATTAGTTGCAAAACCACAGCCAATGCTCTGTCCCCAGAGTAGGACTGTTGGATTCTCTTGATCAGCATTTTCTGGTCTACTTTCGTGTAATTGGGCTATCCATTTCAGTGCTGCTTGTGAGTCAAGATTGATTCCTGACTCCGATGGTCTATCATGAGATGTCCAATAGCCTCGATAACTCAGACAAACCAGTGTGTAGTTGACTGAGGGCTCATTATCATGTGCTCGCCGTATGATCCAAGACAGATCAGGTAATCTAGGCGGCAACGACGATGCATTCCCTATGAACCTGAATAAGTTGCCGTGCGGTTTGACTATAGGAGTGGCAAACCTTGAAAGTAGAGGATGTAAACTGGGTGCTTTGCTTCACCGGCACTCACTTGAGATACTGGGGGAACATCTGCTACACACAAGGCAATCTCTGTTCCGTCCAAGGACTTAATTCTCTCTTCCCTCCATTTCACCCGCCCACAATCGCGGGAGAATTCCTCAATGGTTAAGCTCCGAGAATTGGGTGGTAAGAACGGATTATAGATGATGGTATTCTGGAACAGAACCATCATCAAACACTTCCAACTCCACAAAGCCACAAACAAACCAGTAAACACCAGCGGCGGCATGAGAAAAGGCGCAACATGCAGGGACCTAGCGCGGCCCAGATGAGGCCTCATAATTACATGTGTCCATATACGCGGCCGAGTCCTCACGCAAACGCCTCGCGAGCGCATGGCCGACATGGTGATGGCATGCCAGGCCATGGGAGCTGACGATCAAAGAAGCGCCTGGCAAGGGGAGGGAGAAACGTGGATTGATGTAAGTAGTTAGGTGCAAGGGGTCCAGGTTTATGACATGTTCGAACACGACTGGGCTTGAGGGATATGCGACTGTGCGAATTGGGGATGATGTGCAGTGAAAACGAGGGAGACAGCTGATAGTGAGAAGTATCTGACTTTATTGCAGGGCGTAGTGATTACAGATACCTCATTAATCTTTCACTAAAAGTCTTTCGGAAGATTCTAATATTCAACCAATTTCCACTAAATTTATGATCAATTGAGGCAGATGTTTTGCAGAACAATATGTTAATAATTCCCATAATGCCACCCAATAAAGTTACAACGGTTTTAAGCCCCGCCAAACACTTGCTGCAGGTAAAGTAAGGCACCCTCAGGAACCAACCATCCATAAACAGAGGCCCAAAGTGGAAGTGCAAGTGGAAGTGGAAAGCACCCGATATTTCAGGTCAAATTGCTCAGCTTTTAATCAGCTTTTTTCCCGCCTCCATCACGTTCTTGAAAATCCCATCCTTCACCTTTTCTCTCTCTCTTCTTTATCGTCCCTCTCCCCACAACTTCAAAACGACAACGTCTCTCTCGCTAGACTCAAAACTCGCTTACAAACTTGCATCACATCTGCCCCGCCATTACCGCCCATCTTCGTGGATAACTACATCATCGCCCATCTCGTGCTCTAACAGAGCTCAACACGCACAACCATGTCTGGATCCGATAAAGAAAACGACGGCCATGCGCATATCCAAGTCCCCAGTGACAGCGACAAGCCCTCACCGCGCCCAGATGGCGAGTCAAGCCCTGGCCTCAGGAACAGCAAGGGTTGGGATGGCAAGCTTCGCATGCCAAAGTCGGCTTCCATGACAAACCCAGAGGCTCTCACCGATTCTGACTACTCTGACGATGAGAATGTCATGAAGGGAGAACAGATCGACGCTGATGAGGGTACGTGCTGCATATCAACCTACAAAGAGGGACAGTTCGGACTAACACGTGCAGATCTCCTCGATGACGAAGATCCCGAGACGGACGAAATTATGTGTTCGCACTCTCGAATCGCTTCGATTTCCTCTCTACGCCTCGAACGCTTCAAGAACGTTTCCCGTATCTGCCTCCGCCAAAACAGCATCGAGCAGATCGACGGCCTGTCCGCCCTAGCCGAGACCCTCGAAGACCTTGACCTCTACGACAACCTCATTTCGCACATTCGCGGCCTCGACGAGTTAACAAACCTTACAAGCCTTGATCTAAGCTTCAACAAAATCAAGCATATCAAGCACATTAACCACTTGACAAAACTCGAGGAACTGTACCTTGTCGCCAACAAGATTGGTAAAATCGAGGGGCTGGAGGGGCTGGATAAGTTGACATCTCTTGAGCTGGGATCGAACCGCATTCGCGAAATCAAGAACCTCGATTCTCTGAAGGCGATTGAAGAGCTTTGGTTAGCCAAGAACAAGATCACTGAGCTCACTGGTCTTGGTGGTTTGCCCAATCTTCGACTACTGAGCATTCAGTCCAACCGTATAAGCGATTTGTCACCACTCAAGGACGTCCCTACGCTTGAGGAGCTATATATCTCACACAACATGCTGGAATCTCTAGAGGGCCTGGAGCATAACCCCAAGCTACATGTGCTGGATATCTCAAACAACAAGATCACCAGCATCAAGGGACTTGAGTCACTCGCTGAGCTGGAAGAGTTGTGGGCCAGCTATAATCTCATCAATGATTATAAGGAGGTTGCCAAATACCTTGCCGATAAGAAAGAATTGACGACGGTGTATTTTGAAGGAAACCCGCTGCAACTGCAGGAACCTGTGGCATATAGGAACAGGATCCGAATGACGTTGCCGCAGGTCAAACAGATTGATGCCAGTAAGTTGACACTGAATTATACAATTCTATGGATCACTGCTAACCACTTTTTCTAGCATTTGTTCGAACATGAGTTCGAATTTTGAGGGCTTCGTCACAGAAAGCATGGCGTTAAGGAAATGGAGTTTGGCTTTTTCGATATTCAGGGTGGCATCAATGATGCATTCAATAAATGATTCATTCAAAGACAGATAAAGCTTTATCTGAGTTACAGTTTAGACAAGGTTCTAGAACAAAGACAGAGTTACCGAGGCCACAGCCAGTCACGCACGGCTCAGTCTTGGTCATATCATGGAGCAATCATTTCCCAAAACGATAATCATATCACGCAGAAAGTGACCAAATTTGTTGAAGGGTTAACTGTCTTTTGTATTCTATGAGAATGTCTCATCAAGTCCTTGCGGTTCTACAAAAT